TTGTAAAAATTTGCAGAAAATAAGTTTCTTGAGAATTTTCATACAAATTTTTATTAGCACATAATTAGCTTGTGGATAATAAACTATCCAGGGATTTAATATTCACAAAAATTTTCTACAAATTTGGTGTGAAAAAATTAGTAAGTAATTTTTTGCAAATTTAAATTTGCATATAATTTCTTGCAATTTAAATCTACATGTAAATTTTTACCAATTTCAAATTCGCAAGTAATTTTAAATTTACAAATAATTTATTGGTAATTTTATATTTGCAGGAAATTTCTTGCTAATTTTAAATTCACAGGTAATTTTTTATGAGGTTATTTTTTAAAAACATCTAAAAAAAATTTGTATCAATTTTAAATTATATATATTAAATTAAAAAAAACTATTTATTATATATTTTATTTTATTACAAAATTAAATGATTATAAAAGAAAAATTATTTGTTTATTCAACTAAAAAACTAAGCTAAAAACAAAATTAACGTGAAATATTTTTTAAGATAATTATTTAGTCTTACATCAACATGATCCCTATGAATGATAAGACAAAACATAAACAAAGTAAAATACTATTATATGAATGCAATTATCACAAATGCATGAAATGAAATTATCAATGTTTGGAAACATGAGATTCATTTATACGAAGAACCTTATTCCCTTGCATTGTTGAGTTCTTAGGTATACAAAATAACTACGTTCTCCATTATTGAGCAAACAATTTGGTCTGTATTAATTTGAGAATAGCAGCATAGAGGAAAAGTTACAAAAAAACAAAAATGATGCAACACCTGGCTAGAAAACCGTTCGATAGGTCATTATAAAATATTATATTATATTCATTTTAATTACCATTTCATAAAAATTCATACAAAAATAAGCATATTTTTTAAAGCGGCCTTCTCTGGTTTTTATTTTATTTTTTTGAGAAAATTGAAAACCTAAATAAATTAACTTTTCTATACTAAAACAAAATTATACAAAAAAAAAGTATATAAAAATATTTACTGCAAAGTAAAAGCTAATTTTATTTTATAATTTATTTTTTCTTAAAAGTCCTTTGTGATCCAAGACCCTAAATCTAAAACAAAATGACAACATTTTTTCGACACCAATTATGCATTTAGTTTTAACAAAGAAAATAAGAAATGAAACTTCTTAGCATGATTAATCTAAAATTCAAACAGGTGGACCGCATGGATGTTTATGTATGCAATTGAGAGGAAACTAGAATATAAATTCTAATGAAACAGAATATTTTCAACCACCATAGGAAGCTAAAAGGATATAAAAAAAAACATCAAGTCACTTTTTAAATTCTGTTTCATACGAGTGAGTCGAGCTACCATGCAAACCTTCGACGCCCCCAGTTGGATTCTTGAAGACGAGAGAACTCCCAATACGTTTTCAAAGAGAATGGTGGGAAAACGGTGACACCTTCGATCGAGTAATTTTAGATATCCACTAGCAGTCACACATTACACTTAAATATCATAAATTATTCATTATGCAATAAATAAGAATCCATTTCAATTCAAATGAGAGAAGTGTTGGCAATATACATTTCACTCTCTAATATACTCCTAATACACACTTTACACTGGTTAAAATTTTTTAGGCATAGTGAAATCATGAACAGAGCTCTTTGGATAAGAATTTAGACCACAGTAAAATTGTGACTTTCAATGAATTTTAACTAATAATAATAATAAGCTCTTATCTATAATGCAAAAAAATAATACTGTAATTATTATTAATTAAAACTTCCAGATCCTTAGTGTAAAAATGACAAAGTCAAGTCAAATATAGAGAAAACTAACTAATGAATAATCACATGCAACAAAAATCAGAAAGCAAATTCCAAGAGAAATATATCACTCAAAATAAAACAAGAAAAGAATTCAAGTCTATGCCTTCAAATGTAAACTGTTAATACTGATTCTATAGAGCACAAGACAGTTGCACATGCACTATTGCAAGACAAGTATTTTTAGATTTTGCAAAATAAATAATAACAAACTTTTTCAACATGAAACAAGAACCAATTTCAGCTTGGTTGCTTAAAGGTCACTCTAAAAATCATTGGACTCATATAAAACAATGAATTTTTTAAACTAGATTTAAAGAGGATGTCTTCTTGCATTACAAAGGGTATAGGTAGCAGCAGAAGCGAAAATTATGTAGAGTTTCATTAACAGACCAGAATAAAAAACATGCTAAAACAAATATTCACAGAACATACATATGCAGGAGATATTGATTACATTACTTCAACGTACTATTCTAAAGCACACCAGAATAACACTCAGAATAAAACCCTAGGTTGCAGTGTTAATCAACTTACGTTAAATGGAGGCTCTGAAAATTCCTTCCCCTAATCTTCAATAGACCCAAATCTACAACAGAAATCAAACCCAATTTTATTTCTATGAACCCTAACATTCAAATTAGTAATAAAAAGTAAAACAATAACTAGAATACATTCTAGAATACACTGAATAGTTGAATAAGTTATGTGAAATAAAACTAAAATACCAAAGACTCCGGCAGTTAAGATTATACCTATTTATGTGATATTTTTCGTCTTCCACTGCGATTCAAGTAAGCCCGTCAACCATACAGAGGAAGGAAGAAGAAATAGTAGTGATTAAAAAAAGAAGAATGGTAATATGATTGTAGAAGAAGAAATGAAGGGGAAACTGGTTCCTATTAATGGAATGGAAGCAGAGAGGGAGAAACGTTGAGGAACGTTGCTGAAGAGAGACATGATCGAGGAGAGAGGGAGAAAGGTTGAGAAAAGTTGTTGAAGCGAGAGGGAGAAACGTTCGAAGCGGTTCAGAATAGTTATTTTTAAAATAACCAATTATAAAATATTTTATTATTTTTCTATAAAAATAATTAAAATCTTTTCAAAAAAAAATTATTTTAAAATTTTGCTGCCATTTTTTAAAATATTATTAAATCTTTTTTACAAATTTTATTTATAAAAAAAATATAGAAAATAATTTTCATTCCTGCCAAATTTTATACGAATATATATTTGAAAAATAAAATAAAATTATAATTATATAATTGAAGAAAATTTTGCAGGAATTTCTTACTATTAATTTTTTGCAAAAAAAATCTTACATATTTTATAGAAAAAATATTTTGCAAATAAATTTGTAATAAGTTGTTGTGAAATATTTTTCCTAGGAAAAGTTGTAACTATTTTTTACTAAAAAATTTTTGCAGAAAAATTTACATAAATTTAATGATTTTTTAGTAGTGTTTGGTTGTAGTAATGTGTTGGATCTATAAGATCAAATATAAATTATCACAGTTGAAGATGTAAAACAACTTAAAAACAAATTCAAATTCAGTGACAGAACTGATACAACAAATGAATGTTGTGTCATTTAGTGACTGAATGACGCTCAAATCATAAAAACTGTATTCAAGTTTGTGTCAAGTAGTAACCAAATCATTGTCGAATATGCTAAACTATGACAATGGGAGTGCATCTTGTTATTTTATAAAGAGCCAATTGGTGACAATTTAAAGTTTGGTAATCTAATAATAGGCAAGTTTAATTCTGTGGTTAAAACTATACACGTACGCCATCCGAAACTCCTTTCTTGTTTTCATTTTACACTTTTAGATTTCAAATTTTGCTTCTTTTTCTACTAGCTACTTTCATTTTCATTTCTAAAGTTAAATTGTCTCTTTTCCACCATCACCACCTTCTTTACTTTATATGAAATTTTTTCTTGGATTTGCGATTTACAGTTTTTTTTCCCATTCACAGTTGCCTCATTTTCAAGCTTGGATCACCCACAAGGCAAATAATTCGATAGATAATATAAGGAAAGAAAAAAGATTGGCTGAAAATAAAAGGGGCTTTGTATCTTCGAACTCAAACCTAAAAACCGATGTGAGAGAGAAACATGCATGTAAAATGGACAATGTTGTCCCTTGAGGAAACAAAATCCTGGAAATGTAGGATTCCACATGCTGCCAATCACTTATTCTTTCCCAAAGATCAGCCTTTTCCCGATACAGTGGAGAATTCATCAGCTTCTTCCTATAATTTTTATAGTGCACATACCATATACCAGAAAACTTCATAATGAATAGGTATTATGGCCAAGGAATACAACTTGAACTTAACTCACATTACCTGACAGCTACTGGTTGAGTATTTCCAACAATAACCAAGTCACGTTACCCTCACATCACAAATTCAGCAAGTGAAGCAAAACTAAACAAAAGTCATGCACTAGTTGAATGTTCAAACCCTAATGTTTCTGAGAAATCCAAATTGTTCACTAAGTTAAGAAGTCTTATATACTTCATCCATTTTATTTACCTTTTTAATCACACACATAAAACAAGGGGGTGTAACCTTAATCGTGGAAGGACCCAATAGTTCACAGTATAGTACCATAAAGCATGGTGAAAGAGACAAAGGCTATCTCCAAACCACAGTATATTACATTAACAAGGAAGAATACAAAGCACCGGAAGAGCAGGTGATAGGTGATCCATATATATGAACAACTGGACAGGTAGTTGTATACAATACGTTGTTCATATATACCATCATTATTTATTAACATAATTTCTACCGGTACAAGGTAGAAGAAATATTAATGGATAAATCACAAGTTCACGACCAAAAGAGAAAATAAACAAATATACATATGGCTTGATATTAATTTGCATTTTCAGCAGCAGGATCAAGTTGATAGAGTGCAGATTCTGAAACACGTTTCTTGTACTTGGCAATGAAAGCTTCAGCTTTCATATCAATATTTGGCTCAGCAACACCCCAGTTACCTTTATCATAATCACTAGGCCACACTCTGCGGCTGGAATCAGGGGCATCACAGTACCCTCCTCTGGGCTTCTTAGATGAGAAGATGTTGAAAATAGAAAAGAAACTGGAAGAAGACTTCTTCTGTCTGTTACCTGCCATAATTGTGGTGTTGTTTTGGTTAACAATGACTGCACCAGTCACTGGGAAGACAATGAACTTTGGAGAGAAATGATTGTCCTGGTTTTCAATTCAAAGTACCATGACTCATTTATACTATAGAGGGAGACTTCAAATGCATGAGTGGTGAATAGTGAAAGAATCTGATAAAGGAGAGGCAAAACCAACATAAAGGGTTCATATGGTGCTGATTTGGCAAGGTAAACAACACTTTGATTTGTAACATCCTTGTCGAGGCACATTTGATGTGCTCCGCTAGTTTCGTACTTGACTTCCACAAAATTTTAGGGCTCTCGAAAAAACCAAAAAACGCAAACTAATTAATTAAACTAAGAGGTGTTATATCAATAAATTTTAAAAACTTGTTTTCTTTTTTAAGATATATTTTTTAACATGAAGGAGTGAAAGTTCGTCGGAACTACATAAACCAGTAAAAATTTATGGAATTAAAAACAACAATAATAAAATAAAAAATATAGAGATTTGAATAGACAATTAAAGATAATAATTTAAATAATGAGTAAATAAAGAGATAATAGAACATCAATAATTTAGTGAGTAAAATAAAGAGATAATACCAATAATAAAAAATTTTAACCCAAGTGTAACTTCTCTTTTAGTTTTTTTAACATAGTCTCGTCAGCATCGAGGTGTAATTTTTTTTAAAGGTGAATATTTACAATTACCAAATAATTCTTCATTGGTTACATTTTATAAATAATATCCCTAAATAACTGGTTTTAGACAATTTTAAAAAATGGGAAATAAGATTTCATTGATATCACAAAACGTTTGACTAATATTTGAACTTTGTGATTAATAAGACAGAATCATTCCATCATAACGTTTTTTTATTATTATTTTAAAGTCATTTTTCGTCACAAATTGTGACGACTTGTTTATCACAAACTTTCTTAGATGACTTCCCCTATAACGTAGTCACTAAAGTCAGTGTGCAATTTACTTCCAGCAAGTACTCTAATATTTTAAAACATGCATTTTAAAAAAAGAGGACTAATATTTTAAAATCAAATTAAAGATGCATTTGAAAAAAACATATATAATATTTTTGAATAATTTAAAATTTTGGTAGAGTATGAATTATTTTTTAAAATTCTATAAAGATTAAGGACAAAATCAACCATGAAAACCTAAAATAAAGGTTTTGAATAATCACACGACCTAAAATGAAATAGACTAAAAGTTGAGCGCAGCCAACTTTTTTTGAATCTCATTTATATTCTTCTGAATCAGGTTGTCGAGTTCTGTGATTTCTTGAAGGGTATGTGGCAGGATTTGACCTTGCATTAACTGAAACATGGACAAGGTCATCTGGTTCTCATAGTTCTCTTCACGTTGCATCTTCAATTCATTTTGGGCCTTGGCGATCCTTTGCATCATGAAGCTTTCGTGGTTCACATTCCTGCTTTTGTTGAGCACAGGTGTATTCTTAAACCTCTCCATCACCTTGTTGGCTTCTTCTGGATTTGGCCAAACTTCTGTCTCACAATCAAAAGGATTGTAAATTACAGCACAAGCTGAGATCCCGCAGAGAGTGGCCAGTTCATCCACCTTCTTTATCATGCCCTTCTTCCTTCTCTTGTACGTCGTTTTCCTTGTCATTTCATCAGAGATAAAGGCAAGCTTCAATTTCTTCCTAGCCATGGTTGGGAACAAAGTACTAAGAAATTATAAATAGTTTATGCATTATTTTTCCTACACTGACTGGTTTTATAATGAGTTATTTCAAGTTTCATTTTAATTTCTGAGAATCTTTGTTACCACTCTCACAGGTTCCAAACAGAAACTTATCTAGTCATTATTTTTCTTTGTATTTGCAATTACTGTATTGTTGTGTTAAATCGGAAAATAATTAAAACTCATGTGCCATTAATTTATTACAAATTTTAAAGAATATGCAGATTATGGAAAGATATACCAAAAGGTTCGACGAGATTGACTTGTTAGGATGTGATTTTGTGCATTGATGCATCATTTAAATTATATTTTATTTTCAATATATATATTAATAACAAGGCTACATTGTAATGAATTTTATGCACATTATTCAAACAATTTTACTTTCATTAGTCATTCGTCACTTACCAATAAACATACTACCTTTTTTTACAGCCATGACAACAAGATATAAAATATAAGCTAAATTGAATTTCATTATTTTTTTGAGGGAAAAAAATTTATAATGACTACAATCAAATTGTCATAGAATTAACCAAATTAATAACATTATATCTTATTTTTCAGTATTTTTTTTATATTCCAGAAAAATATTAAAAAATAAATACATTTAATATATAAAATAATATATTCAATGAATCTCAACCTTCATTGACCACTCCCAAATTTCTGCTTTCGATAGTAAAATAAATGCATGTAAATGATTTGATCATATTAGTGAAGAAAATGAAAAAGTAAATAAATAATGATAATCAACTTTATAGAACAATCAATTTTTTTTGTCAATATTAATAAACACAAATTCCTGTGAATATCTGTTTAAATAAGAGTTGCTGATGTGTTTGTAGATTAATGTATTGCAATAAAAAAATATTTTAAAAATAAACCTCGACATCAAGAGGAACTGCTCGTGTTCTACATGACTCTCATTCTTTCTGAAATTCTTCCATGATATACCTTTTTCGTAAAATAGTCGAAAAAATGTAACTTTTATTGTCTTAATATAGCAATTAGTTGTTATAATCTATTTATTTTTAGAACTGATATTATGATTTCTATATTACATCTATTTTTAATAGTAAATAATACTGCATAACAATAATATTATCTTTTTAAATAAATATAACGACGGATAATGAAATTATGAAATTGGAGTAAACAAAAATCAAATGAAATTTAAAATATTAATTATTAATTATTTTATTTAGGATTGTGTTCAAAATTCATATTTATTATAATAGTATTATTATGATCAAATTTTATATTTTTGAGTTTTAATCTCTTACCATTTTATTCTTAAAATATACATTAATTAAAAATAAAATGTATATATAAACTATTTTTCAATAAAAGATTAGTGTACATATGCATTAAGTTTTTATTATATGTGTTGGCTATTTTGGTAGCAATCCAACTTTGACCAGGAAGATCAAGTTGTCGCTAAAGCCAAAGAGAAAGAATATTACCGTCCATGGAATGAGAATTTCTCAGCCGTGTAAGAACACGAAGTTCTTTTACATATATGTTAAGCAACCATGTCAATTAAAAAATTTCATTGATTTCATTCTCATTGACTGAAATTTATAATTAATTCAACGTATATTCTAAATATTTTACCCATTTATTGAAATAATATTAAAACAGACATGATATTGAAAATAATTGTTAAATTAATTTTAATTCAATCAATTAAAATAAGAGCGAATAAACTGCGGATAGTTTTTTATTGACATACACTTAGTTTAGGAAATGGAAAGATTCTATTGTAATAATAAAATCCAACAAGTGAAGCCAAACTAAAAAGTCATGCACTTGTTGAATATTCAAATCTTAATCTTCCTCCGTTTAATTTACTTTTATGATTACTCAAATAACAAGGGACTGTTATTAACTGAGATTTTGAAAGAAGTTGATAAATGCTGCGCAACATGTGCAGTGTGAAAGAGTCAGGATATTTCTAGACCAGAGTGAAAGCATGTATTACAAGAAGAAAAAGTAGAATGCAAGAAGTTATTCACATATATCATCATTTATTAACATGATTTCAACCAAACAAGGTAGAACGTAGAAGCAATAATATTAATGTATAAATTACAATCTACAGACAAACAAATATACATATATAGCTTTAAATTATGCATTTTCAGCAGCAGGATCAAGTTGATAGAGTTCAGATTCTGAAACACGCTTCTTGTACTTGGCAATGAAAGCTTCAGCTTTCATATCAATATTTGGCTCAGCAACACCCCAGTTATCTCTATCATAATCACTAGGCCACACCCTGCGGCTGGAATCAGGGGCATCATGGTACCCTCCTCTGGGCTTCTTAGATGAGAAGATGTTGAAAATGGAAAAGAAACTGGAGGAAGACTTCTTCTGTCTATTACCTGCCATGATTTGTGGTGTTGTTTTGGCTAAATATGACTGCACCAGTCACTGGGAAGACAATGAACTTTGGAGAGAAATGGTTGTCTTGGTTTTCAATTCAAAGTAACATGACTCATTTATATATACTATAGAGGGAGGCTTCAAATGCATGAGTGGTGAATAGTGAAAGAATCTGATAAAGGAGAGGCAATACCAACATAAAGGGTTCATATGGTGCTGATTTGGCAAGGTAATGAACAACACTTAGTTTTGTAACATCCTTGTCGAGGCACATTTGATGTGCTCCGCTAGTTTCCTGCTTGACTAAAACAAAGCTTTGTGGGAGAATTCCATCAATAACGCATAATTGTTGGCTCTGCTTTTGTACTTTGTTTTCTTAAGAAGATTCACCTTCTTATTGACACTTTTTCACTACTAATCTCATCACCTAACTAAAGTGCACCATTCTACTTCCAATAATCGACCTACTTATTGCATGCATCTGTTTACTCTTGCATGAAAAAGGTTCACACGCTTGACCAAGACCGCACCAGATTAAGTGATATCATGATCTTTGTTCTTAATTTGGTTTATGAATCCTGCACATAGACTAATCCGTTTACACACACCAAAGAAATATACTTTTTAAAATGATTTAACTTTTTTAAGAAGTAAAACCATATACCAAAGACTATTTAAATCATTTAAAAAAAAAAAAAATCAGCCCATTAGACACGTATTTTTTAAAATTTAACTTGTTTGAAATAACTACTAGAATAAAATTATTTCAACAATCAATTCGATTATACGTGCAATTCATTGTAATTGAACAAGTTTTTGTTTAATGAATTTGTTAAAAATGATTTTACGATAATTAGTTTTGTTTGGATATGCAATAAAAAATATTTTTTAAATAAAAAAAATAGTATGTATGAAACTGGAAGGGAAAAAAGTGTTTGAAAAATAATCATACCTTGCATGGCAAAATAAACTGATTTAAGTAGCGTTTTTAAGAAAAAAAACAAAATTAAAAAATCACAGAGATGAACAAGTTTATTATTCGAGACCAAAAGAACGAAATCAAATAATTTATCAGAACCAAAAAATTTAAATCAATTCTTTTATTACTAGTTAATTTTGCAAAAAACGAACCTTAAAGAGAGAAAAAAAGAGCAACCAAAATAAAACTTATTGATGCATATATAGTTAAATATATATATATATATATATATATATATATATATATATATATATTGATAAATTATTATTATTTATTTTATTTAAAATTAATTATTATTTTATTTTATAAAATAGATTAGATATCAAATGAAGAACATCAAAATTATCCTAATTTAATTTGGATTATAAATTCTTTTATTTAATTTTACTTATTTTTTAAAAATATTTTGATTTAATCTAATTAAGTTTATTTACATATTTTACGTGATTAAATAATATATTATTAATAAATAATAAAATAATATAAAATATATAAAATATTTTAATATATTTAATTATTTATTTTAATATTTATAAATAAGTAAATAAAATTAAAATTATAAATATATACATAAATATATTTAATAATTATTAAATTTTAAAATCAAAATTTTAAATATAATTACAAATATCTGAGAAACCATGGCCCTTCCACCCTGAAGCTAAATTCTTTTAAAGTTTGAATTTTAGTATTGAATCTGTGCCACAACCGATAATAATAGGAAGATTTTTTTTTATATATATATACCACTATTAAATGGTAATGAACATTTATAAATACTTTAAGTTTTATGAAAACTAACAATGGCAAAAAAAAAAAAATTTAAGTATCACTGATAGAGCTTATTATTACTTCGTTTAACATTATATCTGTGTCATGAACTTATTCATATATTCATGTTTTTTAGATTATATGTCTCAAATGTATTTTTATACATATAAGAAAAATAAATAAATAAATAAATAAACTGAGAGTCTAGTGATACTTATCTTTTGCGAATATTGTCTAGATATTTTTTTTTTTTATGAAGAATATATTAAGATTGAATGTAAGAATACATGAATGTATTAAAAGGGAACAATTCAAGAAATTAATATGGGACAAAGATAAAAAAGAAATATAATTAACTTATGAAATCAAGAGAAAAAAAATAAAAATGTAATTTATATAATGAAAATTGAAAAAAAGAAAAACTGAATTATAATCATAATATTAATATAAGAAAATAAAAGAAAAATTATAATTAAAAATAACATTAGTAAATGAAAAAATATAACTACTAGAAAACTAGTTTTTTTTTCTGCCAATTTTCTTAAAAAAAATTGTTTAAATTTATAGAAAACTTATTTCTTACAATTTTTATCAAAATTTTGCAAAAATATTCCCATGAAAAATGAGAATTTTTAGTAGTGATACTTATAGTCAAGTAAATAATACATAAAAATATTGTAATGGAAAAGGAAAAATAAGAATGTAATAATTGATAACTAAAATCAGAAAAAAGGTAATTAAAATCATGAAAATAAAACACACAAGCTATATGAATTTATTAATTTAAATAATTATAATTACTATGTTTTTTTTTATCTTTTACCACACAAAAAAAAGCTAAATTTATTGGAATGAATGTTTGAATAAATACTAATTCAATTAAATGTATGATTAATTAATAACTTATTTGAATAAATATATCTTAATTTTTTTTAATTTTATTCAGTAATTTATTTTATAAAATTGTAAAAAAACAAGAATTTTATTATTTTAACATCTTTTATATAAATGTTTAAATTTTTTTACATGTTATATTTAAAATTTATATATTGGATATGTCAAAAAATTATTTTTATCTGAGTTAGTTTTTAATATTTTTTTAGTCATATATATATATATATATATATATAACTTTTTGAATAAAGTTACATTATGCTAAGTGATAATGTTATTATGATATATCTTCTTAATTTTATTTTAATATTATTTTATAAATGAGAAAAAAATAAAAGAATTAAATTATTTGAGATATAAAATAAAATAAAAGCTAAAAAACTAAAAATTAAATTATAAAATTATAGCATATATTATTATAAATATTTTTATTCATTATTAATAATTATTCTAAAAATACATTTTTATTTAGTTATTGTTTATAATAATATTTTTTATAATTAAAAAATTTATTAAACATTTTATTATGAACAAATCAACTACTAAATAAATAATCATGAAGGTAAAATACGAGAAAGTATTTTATTAAAATATTTTTAAAAAAATTTAAAAAACTAAAAAAAAATGAAACTTTAAAGATTACATACAAATTATTTTAAATTTAGAAAATAAAAAATATATATGTAAAACTATGTCTATTCAAAATTTACACTGGGTAATGAACAAAAACATCTTCTCCATTTTGTTTAAATGGGATGATGGAAAGTGAAAATAATGGAAAAGAAAAAAAATGAAAAAGAATATTGTTTAAATTAAGTAAAAAAATGGAAATAAGTAGGAAATAAAATAAGTTTATTTCTTATTAATAAAATTAATTTTTTAATTATTTATTTATTATTATTATTATAAAACTGAGAAAAAATTATAACATTGATTAGATATCGTTCATAAAATCTATTGAAGTAAAAAGAAAGTGTTTTCCTTTCTGATATTCGTTCTTTCTATGCTTTGAAAAAGCATGTTTCTTCACTTTTTCACACTCTTCCCACTTTCGATCCTCAAAAGCAAGCAGGACATTAATCGTATTTCAAGAATAATCAGAAAAGTTTGAGAGATATTTAGCGTGACAGATGAGAAAATATCAACTTCCAGCACGTGGAGTCCATGAATCTAAGAAATAGCGAGATCTTGATTTCTCTTGGTATCTCTCTCAATTCGAAAATCCAGGATTACAAGAAAACTTAGGGCCAAAAGGAATACAACATGAACTTGCTATATCACCTGTTGAATAATATAACTCAGTCACATGTTAACTACTCCTCATATCATGAAGTAATCAAGTGAAGCCCACACTAAAATGGTCATGCACTTGTTCAATGTTCAAACTGTTATGTTCCTGAGAAATAAGCGCCACAGGTGGGGGAAATGAAGGAGGTTATTCACTCAATTAAGAACCCACTTCTCCTATGCTTTCTTCTCTTTATTTACTTTTAATCCCACAAACATAAACAAGGGGTTATATTAATTGTAATTCAACTTGTGATTGCTATTTCTATATCAGAGTGAAAGCGTATATATTATCCCTGAAGAGCTAGGTAATATATACATATACTTGGTTAATCAATATGAACACTAAACAATTAGTTGAATACAACAAGTTGATCATACATCATCATTATTTATTAACATAAGTTCAATCATTACAAAGCAATATTAATGTATAAATTACAATCTGGGGACATAAACAAATATACATATGGTTTCAAATTATGCATTTTCAGCTGCTGCTGCTGCAGGATCAAGTTGATAGAGTGCAGATTCTGAAACACGTTTCTTGTACTTGGCAATGAAAGCTTCAGCTTTCATATCAATATTTGGCTCAGCAACACCCCAGTTTCCTTTATCATAATCACTTGGCCACACTCTGCGGCTGGAATCAGGGGCATCATGGTACCCTCCTCTGGGCTTCCTGGATGAGAAGACGTTGAAAATAGAGAAGAAACTGGAAGAAGACTTTTTGTGTCTATTACCTGCCATGATTGTGGTGTTATTTGGCTAACAATGACTGCACCAGTCACCAAGAAGACAATGAACTTTGGAGAGAAATGATTGTCTTGGTTTTCAATTCAAAGGCAACAAAACTCATTTATACCTCTAGAGGAGGCTTCAATTGCATGAATAGTGAATAGTGAAGGAATCTGATAAAGGAGAGGTAAGAGCAACATAAAGGGTTCAAATGGTGCTGATTTGGTAAGGTAATAAAGGAGAGTTTGTTTTGTAACATCCTTGTCGAGGCACATTTGCTGTGCTCCGCTAGTTTCGTACTTGACTTAAACAAGCTTTGTGGGAGAGTTCCATCAATAACGCACGATTGCTGGTTCTGCTTTTGTACTTTGTTTTCTTAAGAAGATTCACGTTATTATTTGCACTTTTTCACTACTAATATAATCACCTAACTAAGTGCACCATTGTACTTCCAATAATCTTCCTACTTTCATGCATCTGTTGACTGTCTCATGAAAAAGTTCACACACAAACGAACCAGAGTAAAAGTGAGCATAATGGTGAGTTATGAGTTTAAGTAAATAGGCTAAGCGATCCACATAGCTAACTCTGGTTTTTTATATGTCCATAGAAAAATAGAGTAATGAAATTGGCATGGATCATGGAACACCCTCTCATTCCTTGAATAGTCATATTCTTGTACAGAAGAAATTATTATAAAACTATGTTATAGCCTATTATTGCAACAGACAGCTTGGAGAGATTCTCTCTACTGAAAAAATAATATAAGTAATGTTTTTTGAAAAGTTAATCTCATGCAGTAAAGTCACAACTAAACCCACCAAACATGAGATTAAATATTCTAGCTAGCTTAATTTGAATTACCACTCAACTTAATGAAAGCGTGATCACTTTAAACTTTGAAGCATATTTTTGGTCATATACTTAATACGAAACTTGTTTTTTGGTCAAGTTCATAGTTATTTAATACGAAACTTGTTTATCAATGTTTGACGAAAAACTTTGCTTGCATTCTCCGGATGCAAATGTTACGCGGGTTTTGGGTACAAGAGCAAAAATACTTAAACTAAATGATAACATTATCAGATTTAGTTTATGAGTAAATTGATCACTATTTGTTCCATAAATTTGCAAACTCGTCATTTTAGTTTTTAAAATTAATAAAATAAAAATAGCGTTTAATATATATTTTGTTAATGTTTTTACACAAACCTGGCAAATTTAGAGTTGTTAATTAGGATAGTACTTTATATATGATATAATAATAGGATAACTCTTTGTGTTAAATGTGATTTTTTTGCCAACATGATAATATTATCTCTCGTTTATCTTATTTTTTTCATTTCAGGCATTTATTATGGAAGGGAGTTAAATATTAACACAAATTTAAATTATAACGATAACTAAATTATCAAAATTTAAATTTTTATCATATATTCAAATATTCATAATATTAAATTTTAAAATATTATACGATTTGTTTATAACTTTGAGAAAAAATTACTATATAAATAAAGTATGTTTTTGTTAATATTAATTCATAATATATATATATATATATATATATATATCATAATATTTATTTAACATATTATATATATATATATATATTTATATTTGTAATTATTGTGATACATAAACTTAAATTATATTATTTTAAAATATTAAAATAAAATAATATCATTTAAAGATTTAAATAAGTTTCAGATATTCACTACAAGAAAAATGTTAAATAGTGACTAAAAATTCGGTTACTAAATGATTAAAATTGGTCACTAACTAAAATAGTGATCGAAATAGTGACCAACTAGAATCGGTCACTATTTTCTTTGTGATTGATTAGTGACCAAATCAATGACCGATTCAGTGATCGATTTAGTGACTAAATCAGTGATCGATTCGATGAATCGATTTAGTGATCGAATCAATTACCGAAATAGTAATCGAATCAATCAACGAATCAGTGACCGATTCAGATGACTAATTTTGTGATCAATTTTATGACCAAATATATAACCAAATCACTATATCGATCACTAATTTTATTTTATTATTTTTAAAATAACGATAAACTTGATTAAAGAATATGAAATATATTATATATTGTATTAAATATATGAAAATTTCACAAGTTACTAATTGTATTAAATATATATATTCATCAACACAAGTTACTAATGAGATGCTTTCATCATTGCAATTAATAAGATATTGTGACTACTTGAATACGAATTTTTTTTTAAATTAAAAAATAGAAAAATAATAACTCACAAGTGTTTTAGAGATCTTTCGCACTGGAACAAGTATAGAATTAAAAGTATTTGAGTGCAACATTAGTTTAAAACATATAAAATCTTCTTAGAGGAAGACGTATATATATATATATCAACAATAAAGAAAACATAAATTCAATACGCTTGCTATTGGCAATCATGTTATGTTAATTGCTAAAACAAATTATGCATAAAACACAAATTACTTCCCTTTCTTACCAAAAAAAATACTGCACAACAACAGGTAGATTAAGGTCAAACATGACCTAATCGAAATTGTAAATTGTATAGAATATATATATATATATATATATATATATATATATATATATATATATATATATATATATATATATATATATATGAACAATCAAATGAAGTTTGTGACCAAAGTTGGTATTAGCATTCTTAATAGCTGCCAAAGTTGGTATTATTAAAAATGTTATCAATTATTTTAAGTTATTAAGTAGATTTATATTTAATATATTATTAAAATATTTTAAAAAATATTTATATAAATGAAAAATAGTTATTTGTGACTGAAATTTTAGTCACTAAATATAAAAAAAATCACTCAGCTGATTCAGTTACTATTAGTAACTCGAATTTTTTTTTCACTAATTTCGAGTTACTATTAACCAATCGATGGCTGATTCGGTGACCGAATCGGGAACCGATTTCGTGATCTGAAATTTTAGTCACTAAATCGATCAATAAATATAAAAAGTGAAATCGAGTCACTAATTCGGTTACATCAATGACTAAATTTTTAGTCACTAATTTCGGTCACTATTACCTATTTTTCTAGTAGTGATTGATTTTTGTTGAAATCAATAATTTTTTTATATTGGATATCTATTAAATTTAATATTATGGTTTAAGTTCATTTTGTTATGTTCATCAATTTTATCACGTGTTAAGTTGAAACATGTGTTACATTATATTACAGAATAATATATAAGTTATTTTTATTACTTGAAGTGGTGTCATCATATGACAGAAAATGTTTGGTTCTTACGATAAAAAAAAAAAGTTAAGAAAGTAAAAAAGATAGTTAAAATTATTTTAAGAATCAATTAAAAGAGTTAATAGAGTAGGAACGAAATACAAAAATAATTTTTTTAGGAACTAAAATCAGAATTTTATAATTTACTATGTATTCAATTTGAAAAATAAAATTATTAGATATTTAAAATAAAAATCATTCATATATGGGAGACTTAAAAATTATTTAAAAATTATTTAATTTTTTAAAATATTAACTATAATTTTAAAATCTTATTTAAATAAAGTATAGTTATGTATAATTTAGTTAAAATGGTATTTACTAATTTCCATACTTTGTATAAAAATATAAATTAAAAGTTAATTTTTAGAAAAGTATATCTAACTAATGAAAATTTTCCATTTAAACATAATTTATATTATTTTCTATTACTATTTATGTATATGCGTAAATATTATATGAGATTATAACTTACCATGTTTTTTATCCTGTCATATTCTTATTGAGTTATATTTTATTTTCTTATACGTATCATTAAGTAAGTTTTGTTTATATTAAAGAGTAGATTTAAAAAACTATATATATAGTTATATATTATTCTAAATACATTTTTACCCACTAATTGAAGTCTTGAAGTCCCTTTTTTACAAGTATATCTACCACATATTAAAGGACAGAGAATCTGATTTCAAAAAACGAAAAAGTGTTTGATAAGAAAATAGGATTTCACTAATTTTGAAAATTCAACCAGCAAAGTGAGATCCAATTGAATTAAAACTCATATTAGGGATTCTATAGGTGATATAATGAAACATAATTCCCACATTTTTTTTTCCTTTTATTCATCTTAAGTTCTTGTGTGCTTGTGTTTTTTTCTGCAGATAGAAAATTAAAAAAACAGATTGTATTGCTTCTTTTCTAATTTTAATTACTCTTTTAATTTATTCCAAATCGAAGTCATCTTAAGATGTTCAAACTATGCCAGTTTTGTGAATTTGTGAATCCCCTTTCAATTGTTAAGATAAATAGTCAATTTGTGAATCACCTACTACGTTGTCTATATCCCATTAGTAAAACACATGTGGAATCATTTCATGTTTTAGTCAACAGCATCAGGGTTTGACATAGTGTATCAGATGTTTGTCAACCTGCATATGCAACTTCATCATTGGCTCTTGAATCCCCCTCAATATCTTTGGTACCGTGTACATCAGATCCCTGCTTAACATTGTCACCTCCACTAGTTTCTATTGCTCAAAGTAAAACAACAAATTGTTAGAATTAATTTAATTAATTCATTCCATTATGTGACTCATGTGAAATATAATAATGGACCCAAATATGATTTAATAAAATATGAGGACCTACTGGTTATTATGTGAAGTTAGAAAAAAATAAAGATAAAATAAAAATATTAATTTACACTAACCAACTTGATGAACGTTGGTTAATTGAATGGAATAAGGGTTATGTCTCTAGTCATAAGGTTTTTCACGGTAAACCATCAAGAAAGCGTGAGAAGAGAAAGAAAGACAAAGAGATAAATTGAGAAAAGAAGATTGGAGAACGAGAAGATTAAAGAATAAATTTTCATGGATCAAGGTTAGTTCTCTTATTATGATTCATGTATGTTATGTTGTGAAAATCAATAATCTAAAGATCCTGTAGAGTAGTTTTCCATAATGAATTAAGAACGTAGGAAAACTACATAATGCTTTACATGTGGTATCAGAACACTGATTATTAGATTTATGATTTTCCTTGTATGAAAGTTTTCCCAAATATTAAGTTTTTCCCAAATTAAGATAAACCCTAATTATGAATTTAGGGATTTCCTTATCAGATTAGTACGAACCCTAATTTATTCCCAAA